TCCCAACTCTTAAAAAAATAAAAAATTAGGTATGTTGGTTCATACCTGTGGTCCTACCTACTTAAGAGGCTGAGGCAGGAGGATCACCTGAGCCCAGGAAGTTGGAGGCTGCAATGAGCCATGATCATAACACCGCATTCCAAGCTGGATGATGGAGGGAGACCCTGTTTAAAAATATATCAAAAATAAAAATAAATAAAGGCATACAGAGAAACCACTAGAAATTGTATCAAAACATTCTTTCGCTGATACTTTGCTGCTCACTGTCATTCACTGAATCCAACATAAGCCGTAAAAGTCAGCCTCATGGGTGCTGAGGAGGAGAGGGAAGGATGGAGAGGGGTCTGCAGGGGTGACTAAAGATTCCCAGCACGAAAGGCAACCGCCATCTATCAAGGATATTCATCCACCCAATGGGGATAATCATTTATCCTAGGGCTGCTATGAAGGCTGAGCTAATAAAGCTAAGGTGTACTAGCAATGTTAATGGCACCCACCTAAGTTCAAGTCTTTGCACACGTCCTCACTTAAATGCATAAGGTCAACAAATAATACAAATGAAGCCATGACTCATTCCTTCAGCATTACTAGGAGACAGAACACACCAAACTTCAAATAACCCGCAAGTAGAAAAAAGCCACCAAATTCCAGCAGACCTCCTACTGCAACTGTAGGTCATGAGCAGGGTCACTAGGGCAAGGGAAACTTAGAAGACTCAGCACAGGCCAGGCGCTGGGACTCACACCTGTAATCCCAGCACCTTGGGAGACTGAGATGGGAGGATTGCTTGAGCTCAGGATTTTGAGACCAGTCTGGGAAACCTGACGAAATCCTGTCTCTACAAAAAATACAAAAAAATTAGCTAGGCATGGTGGCACATGCCTGTGGTCCCAGCTACTTAGGAGGCTGAAGCGGGAGGATCACTTGAGCCCAAGAAGTGGAGGCTGCAATGTGCAGATAATTGAGCCACTGCCCTCCAGCCTGGGCAACACAGCAAGACCCTGTGTCGAAAAAAAAAAAAGAAAAGAAAAGAAAAGAAAAAAAGGCCCAGTACCAAGGGGAAGGAGAAGGCAGCAGAGTTAATAAACAAAGCACAGACAGAGTCATCTTCAGAAAAGGAAAGGTGAGCATTGAGTGTCCAGACACTGAATTCAGGTTTGGGACTCAATGGTTTGCAGCGCCAGCTACAAGAAGGAAGCTTGGAAGTGAACGGCTCAAAGCCAACAGCTTCAATCACGTATTGCCTCTGGGGGAGAATCTGATGAATAGATTATGCCATTCGTCTTCAGTATGGTCACCTCCAATCCTCTCGTTTTCTACAGATGCAGGTAGTTCCAATTAGTTCCCCCACTGAGAGGTAGAATCCACTCTTCAGTTCTCTTATATCTGGCTTGGCCTGTGACTACTTGTTTTTTGTTTTGTGACAGGGTCTTATTTTGTCCAGGCTGGAGTGCAGGTGATCCTCCCACCTCAGCCTTCCAGGGACTAAGGTGTGGGCCACCATGCCTGGCTAATATTTTTGTTTTTATTTTTAGTGGAGACGGTGTCTCACTGTGTTGGCCAGGCTGATCTCAAACTCCTGGGCCCAAGCAATCCTCCTGTCTTGGCTTCCCAAAGTGCTGGGACTACCGATGTGAGCCACAGCACCCAGCCCCTTGACTGTTTTAACCAATAGAAAATGATGAAGGAGATGTCAGGCCAGTTCCTAGAAGAGGACAGGCAGCTTCCACTGTGGATCGCTTGCTGTGGGGAAGTTCATCACCATTGAAGAACTCAGGCTGGCCACACAAGGAGGCTGCATAGAGACAGACACAAGCGACCACCTTCCATCTGTCCTCACCATTGCAGCCTAGGTAAGAGGCATGGGGGAAATCGTCAGGTGAGCCAGGTGTGGTGGCTCATGCCTGTAATCCCAGTACTTTGTGAGGTCAGTAGTTAGAGACCAGCCTAGCCAAAATGGTGAAACCCCGTCTCTACTACAAGTACAAATATTAGCTGGGTGTGGTGGTGGGTGCCTGTAATCCCAGCTACTCAGGAGGCTGAGGCAGGAGAATTGTTTGAACCTGGGAGGCAGATGTTGCAGTGAGTAAAGATGTGCCACTGCACTCCAGCCTGGGTGGCAGTGTGAGACTACATCTCAAAAAAAAAAAAAAAAAAAAAAACGCCGGGCACGGTGGCTCAAGCCTGTAATCCCAGCACTTTGGGAGGCTGAGGCGGGTGGATCACAAGGTCGAGAGATCGAGACCAACCTGGTCAACATGGTGAAATCCTGTCTCTACTAAAAATACAAAAAATTAGCTGGGCATGGTGGCACGTGCCTATAATCCCAGCTACTCAGGAGGCTGAGGCAGGAGAATTGCCTGAATCCAGGAGGCGGAGGTTGCGGTGAGCTGAGATCGCGCCATTGCACTCCAGCCTGGGTAACAAGAGCGAAACTCCGTCTCAAAAAAAAAAAAAAAAAAAAAAAAGAAAGAAAGAAAGAAAGAAAAGAAACCCTCAGGTGACTCAGCCGCCATCTAACTACAACCATATGAAGGACCCCAAGTGACAGTCACTCAGCTGAGCCTCATCCATCCCTAGGATCATGAGATTCAATCAAATGATTTTCTTTCAAGCCACTAAGTTTGGGGTGATTTGTTGGACATCGAAAATCATAAAACAATAGAGAGTGTTGGCGCCCCTTGGAGATGTGGCAATGAACAGAAACGAGGAATGAGGAAGTAAGGGGGTGTCATGGACTGAATTGTGTTCCCCCAAACTTGTATGTTGAAATCTGGCTGGGTGTGGTGGCTCATGCCTGTAATCCCAGCACTTTGGGAGGCAGAGACAAGAGGATCGCTTGAACCCAGGAGTTCGAGACCAACTGGGCAATGTAGTGAGACCCTGTCTCTACGAAAATCTAAAAATTGGCTGGGCATTGTGGTGCGCCTGTAGTCCAGCTACTCAGGAGGCTGAGGTGGAAGAATTGTTTGAGCCTGGGAGGTCAAGGCTGCAGTGAAACATGATTGCACCACTGCACCTCTGGCCTGGACAAGGGAAACAGTGAGAGATCCTGTCTCAAAAAACGGCCGGGTGTGGTGGCTCACGCCTGTAATCCCAGCACTTTGGGAGGCCGAGGAGGGCGGAACACAAGGTCAGGAGTTTAAGACCAGCCCAAATAACGTGGTGAGACCCCATCTCTACTAACAATACAAAAATTAGCTGGGTGTGGTGGCACATGTCTGTAATCCCAGCGACTCAGGAGGCTGAGGATGAGAATCGCTTGAACCTCGGAGGCGGCAGTTGGTGGCAGTGAGGCGAGATTGTACCACTCACTCCAGCCTGGGTGACAGGGTGAGATTCTGGGATGGACCTCTCCTCCTTTCCCTGGCAGCCTCACGCCTGCTGAGCCATGCCTGCTTTTGAGAGATGTGAAGAAAACCAGGCTTCTGATTTTTCTCTCCAGCTCCTCAAAGTTATTGAACACGTTTTCTGCTTTTTGTGTGATGACAGGGGACTAACTCATGTTACAAAAGGAGTGTTAAATCAGTGTTCAGGACATTCATTTGCAAAGACTCTGAGATCCTGGCTGTTATCAAGGACTGAAATGTCATTGATATGACATTTCTGAAATGTTCTCAAATGTTTCTAAGAAAAAGGCAGGCAGTTTCTTTTAGAGACTGTCAGTTAAGAATTTTTAGAATGGAGATGACAGAAATCTAACTTAAGTTGCTTTGGGCAAAAAGAGGTGGAAGGGGCAGATTTATTGGCTCACATAACTGAAAAGTTGAAAGTAGATTGATATTAGGCATTGCTAGATCCAGGGACTTTAACGCTGTCACCAGAATGCCAGCTATGGGGATAATATGCATGCAGCACCATTCTTTCTGGCATTGGTAGGAAGGATAGCGTGACCCTTTCAGAGTCCCTTGTTCCTTATGAGGCTATAGCAATGAGGGGGAGGGAGGGAGGCAGGGAAGGAGGAAGTGGAGGGAAATTAGTTCATAGGTGATCAGATGAAGGAGGCATTGGGGCAGCGGAACTCTGGCGTCCCAGCAAACAGATAACCATCTTTTCAGCCATCCTTCTGTTTCTATCCAGTGTTGGCTTGGTGGGGGAGAGGAGGTGTTGACACCTGGAAGAGACACCTATGAGGCATTCCTGGATGACTTTGTCATCGCTGCGCCCTGTCTCTCAAAATTCAGAGATGAAAGAAGGGTCAGCATTCCAGAAGTTCCTGGTCATACCCAGGCTTTTAATGCATTGCCTTTGGGGAATCAGCATCCCATTGCTGTCAGGGTTATGGGATGGGGGGTTCTGAAAGCATAGGGAAGGGTCTCGGAGGTCTCTTGTCCCTGCTCCGTGCAGATCTTTCTGGCCTGGAAATCCGGTTGAAGAGAGCAGCTCTCGAGGGTTTGAAGAGAGCAGCTCTCGAGGGTTTGCACAGAGCACCCTGGGGACGATCAGCACCACGGACAGCGGCCAGGGCGCCCTGGGGACCCGCAGTGGCGAGCAGGTGCTGCGCTACGTGCGGGCCAGGGAACTCGTGCGGGGAGGGGAAACGCGCCGTGGGTGGTGGGGTGTTGGCCCGGGCTGTTTTCTCTCTGAGTCGCTCTGAGTCACCCAGTGCGCCCCGAGCTCACCGTCGGGCCTCGGAACGCCAGGGTTCTCCCTGCCTTTTCCAGCAACGGTGGGGTGTGGAGGCAAGACGAAAGTGCCAACCTAGGACACCCGGACTTTTGCAGGAAAGGAAGAAGCAGAAGACTGGGACTTGTCAGTGTCTCCAGGGCGCTCCCGCTACCGGCCCGGCCTAGCCCACTTCTATACAAGGCCTGCTCTGCCGGGTCTCCACCTCCCTCCCACGTGGCAGGCGCAGAGGGGCGCATTCCCGGGCTCTGATCTCAGCAGCCCGGAATGTGGCTGATAAATCAGAGATAACCCTGCGGGGCAGGGCCGGCCGGACACTCAGCTCCAGGATAAAAGTCCACAGTGTCCCGAGGAGGCAGGAGGAGCACCCGGCAGGCTGAGGGTAGGTGGGAAGCAAACCCAGACGCATCGCAGCAGCAGCCTCTGCCAGTTCCTCCAGAGACATGGATCCCCAGACAGCATCTTCTCGGGCGCTCCTGCTCCTGCTCTTCTTCTTGCACCTGGCTCTCCCTGGATGGTCGTTCCCACCCGTTGGGCAGCCCCACTTTGCCCTCAGACTTGGAAATGTCCAGGTTACAGGTGAGAGTGGAGGGCAACTCAGGGGGATTGGACAGCAGCAGTGAAAGGGTCCCCACCTGCTGTCCAAAGAGGCCCTCACCTTCCCTTTGGAATTAGTGATAAAGGAATCAGAGAGTGGAGAGACTGGGTGCCAGGACCCAAGGCAGTCAGTTTACTTGGGTGCCATGAAGGGCTGGTGAGCCCAGGCGTGGGGCCCTCAGTCTTGGACTCCCCCATCCATTGTAGGAGCAGCAAGGCCATTTGCAGGACAAACTCTTGGAGCTGCAGGCAGAGCAGACATCCTTGGAGCCTCTCCAGCAGAGCCCTCATCCCACAGCTGTCTGGAAAGCCCGGGAGGCAGCCACAGAGGGCATTTTTGGGCTCCGCAAACTGGTCCTCTCCACTCTGTGGGGACCACGAAGTCTCAAGCCAATGCGAGACACTGGCTGCTTTGGGCGGAGGATGGACCGGATCAGCTTCTCCAGTGGCCTGGGCTGTAAAAGTGAGCACCCCCTGCCATCCCTCCCAGCCTGCCCCCATTCCAGTGTGTGATGCTGTTAGAGTCACTTCGGGGTTTGTTGTCTCTGGGAACCACACTCTTTGAGAAAAGGACACCTGGACATCACTTCCTCTTGCTGACAGCCTGCAGGGCCAAGTGTTGCCTTTGTGGAGTTAGTAAATGTGGGGCTCATTCATTACCATGCCTGCAATACCTTCTCCCCACCTCCTACCTCTCTTATCCAAGGGGCAGAATCTCTCTAGGGGTCTGTTTATCATTTGGCAGCCTCTCAGTGGCGCAGAAAAAGAACCAAACATTTCCTCCTGGTTTCCTCTAAACTGTCTATCGTCTCAAAGGCAGAGATCAGGATCACCAGAGTGATGATAATCCCCGATTTACAGATGAGGAAACTGAGGCTCAGAGAGTTGGATTAAGCCTCAAATGTCTGATGACTAAAAAGGGTGATGAGTGGCACACAGTGAGGGAAGCTGAGCCCCTGCTTCCATCTCTCACCCTAACCATCATCACCTTCTCTCTTCCTTGACAGGGCTGAGGTGGCAGTAAGAGGAAGTCCTGGCTGCAGCTACCGGCTTCTGATTCCACAAAGGGCTCTTTCCTCAACCCTGCGACCACCTTTGAAGTGACTCCTATTTATTTTTATGTATTTATGTATTTATTTGACTGTTTTATATAAGATGGTTTCTTAACTTTGAGCACAAAATTTCTATGGTGAAATAAAGTCAACATTATAAGCTTTTGAAACTGATTTGTCTCGGTGCATTAAAACTAATCCCTCATTTCAAAGAAACCAACAAAACAAAAACCACAAAGCTCTGTGATCTCAAGGCATCTTCATGGTTGGATGGGGACATGGCTCCAGGAGTAGCAGGCTTTCTTTTCTTTCAGGGTTTTTAATGCTCTGAAATGTTCATAAATATTGCAAACGCTTGAGGCACTTGGGAGAAACGGTTTTTCAAAGCAGGACAGTTTCTTCCTGGGCATGCAATGGCCCTGACGTATTTGAGCAACTTGAGGGCAGGTGCCCAGCCATTTTCTCCACTTCATCTTTGCTCTGCCGGGAATCCCACCATTAAAGCACTCTCCCTGAGGATTATTGTTTTCGGGTCTCAGCTAAAATGTTAGCGATTGGGGGCAGTGTGTGCGTGTGTCTCTGTGTGTGGCTCATCTGCATTCCTCTATGGGGGTGAGCCCTCCATCCTGCCCAAAAAATCTCAGCTTTAAACTCCAATTCCTGGTGTCATCCTGCAAAGGAGCCTTCAAAACTCCAACCCACAATGTGAGAGGGTCTGGCAATTGGCCCAGCTTTCCAGGATGCCCCTCCTCTGGGGCTGTATCAGCTCCTCTTCTCTTTGCCTTAACCAGTTGGGGGTCCATCTCCTCTTATGGGTCCCCTTCCCACACACCCTGCAATCCATGCCTCCCACTGTGCTGAGTTCCTCTGCTTTCAGATTCCTGGGAAAGGTCTCATGCCATTCCCTTTCTCACAATGCCATTTATAATTCCAGCTCTGCTGAGGGGTAAGGCACCATGAGGTCCACTATTGTTATGCCCATTTTCCAAATGGGAAACAGACCCAGGAAGAGCAAGCATCCTACTCAAGAACACACAGCCACTAAGCACTGCTGCTGGGGACTGAGCAGAGATTCAGGTGACTCTTGAGCCTGTGCTCTCTGACTCTTCAGCCCCACACTCCTGGCCTCGAACTTCACTCTCAAGTCCTTTCTGATGTTCTCATTGGATGTTTCTTTGAGTGAGAGGGAACTAGAGGGTGGGTTTTTGTGTTATCATTTTAACTCAGTGTGCAACTGAGGATTTATGAATAGCTAATGACATAAATTAAGATTGTCTAGACCAGGCATGGTGGCTCATGCCTGTAATCCCAGCACTTTGGGAGGCTGAGGCCAGTGAATCACCTGAGGTCAGGAGTTCAAGTCCAGCCCCCTGAACATGGTGAAACCCTGTCTCTACTAAAAATACAAAAATTAGCTGGATGTGGTGCTGTGCGCCTGTAATCCCAGCTACTTGAGAGGCTGAAGCAAGAGAATCAGTTGAACCTGGAAGGCAGAGCTTGCAGTGAGCTGAGATTATGCCATTGCACTCCAGCCTGGGTGATAAGAGTGAAACTCCATCATCTCAAAAAAAATAATAATTGTTCAAAAATGAGGTTTTAGGCCAAACACAGTGGCTTACACTATAATCCCAGCATTTTGGGAGGCCGAGGCAGAAGGATGGCTTGAACCCAGGAGTTCAAGACCAGTCTGGGCAACATAGTGGGACCCCATATCTTAAAAAAATGAAAATGAAAAAAATTACCTGGGCATGGTGGTGCATACCTGTGGTCCCAGGTACTCAGGATGCTGAGGTGGGAGGATTGCTTAAGCCTGGAAGCGGGGAACCTGCAGTGAGCTGTGATTGTGCCACTGTACTCCAGCTTGGGTGACGGAGAGAGACCCGGTCTCAGAAAACAAACAGAAAAGAGAATAAAATAAATAAAAGTGAGGTTTTAGGGACAGCTTATTTTTTAACCAACTATGAGTCATGTCTAATGACCTGGGGAAAGCAATGAATAATTAGAATAGTTAATATTCATAAAGTCCTCATTCATGTACCAGGCATAGTCAGATAGGCCTTACAAAAACTCATTTTTTTTTTTTTTTTTTTTTTTTTTTTTGCGACAGGTCACATTCTGTCACCCAGGCTAAAGTGCAGTGGTGTGATCTTGGCTCACTGCAACCTTTGACTCCTGGGTTCAAGCAATTCTCCCACCTCAACTTCTGGAGTAGCTGGGATTACTGGTATGCACCACCACGCCCAGCTAATTTTTGTATTTTTCGTAGAGATGGGTTTTCACCATGTTGGCCAGGCTGGTCTCGAACTCCTGGCCTCAAGTGATCCTCCTGCCTTGGCCTCCCAAAGTGCTGGGATTACAGGTGTGTGCCATTGTACCCGGCCTCTTGTTATTTTAATCTTTCCAGAAAGATGCGTTGGTGAATGCAGAACAAGGAGATGTAGTCCCTAGCTTCAGAGATGGAAGAAGCTTCAACAGAGCATGAACTGGCTTTTTCAGGTCCTAGCACTGAGGTCACAGACGTCAGGACTGCGTTTGGGCCTGAATGCTTCATCTCATGTCAGCAATTTTGCACCTGGGACAGTCTCAAGGAATGCTAAGCCCTTCTCCCTCCCTCTTATGGCTGCTTTGACCCTTCTGAGAATGATTTGTGGCAAGGAAAAAAACTGCATTTCTCTTCCTGCAGAGCTGGGTCTAAACCAAGTCATGAACTTGGTCATTTGTCTTTATTCATATTGTAGCTCTCAGCCTCTCTCTAGGATTTTTCATCTACTGCCTTAGCTTAAATAATCAATCTTACTCCACCAAGTGATCCATTTCTCCCTTGGATCTGGAGCCTGCCCCGTATAGCTCCTCAGAGTGTTTCTAGAACCAAACTCAGCATCTGCCCTTGGATGCTGGCCCCGACTCTCCTGCCTCTAGCTCCCCTGTCTCTGCCTCGGCAGAGGCCTATAGACCCTGACCTCACTGCTTCAACACACATCATTCCTTTCATCCAGCAGCACCACACTTTTCTGCCTAAGGACTTTCTCTGGCAGCCGAAGCCCGCTCAGCTCCTTGGGGTTGGCAGGAAGTGCAGTGCCCAACCAACATCTGGCAAGAGTCAGTATTTTTTTCTTTTTCTTTTTTGAACAGATACAGAGTCTTGCTCCGTCACCATGGGTGGAGTGCAGTGGCATGATCATAGTTCATCATAACCTCAAACTCCTGGGCTCAAGCTATCCTCCCACATCAGCCTCCCAAGTAGCTGGGATTACAGCAGCATGCTGCTGTGTCCGGCTAATTAAAAGAAATTATTTTTCTGTAGAGATGGAGAGTCCCACTACGTTTCCAAGGCTGATCTTGAACACATGGCCTCAAGTAATCCTCCCACCTTAGCCTCCCAAAGTGTTGGGATTACAGGTGTGAGCCCCTGCACCTGGCCAGGAGTTGGCATTTAAAGACCCAGCTTGTGCCTGGTGCCTCAGCTCACGCCCGTAATCCCAGCACTTTGGGAGGCTGAGGTGGGAGGATCCATTGAGTTCAGATGTTCAAGATCGGTCTGGGCAACACAGAGAGACCTCATCTCCACTAAAAATCAAAGAAAAAAATTTAGCTAGGTGTGGTGGTGAACATCTGTAGTACCAGTTACTTGGCAGGCTGAGGTGGGAGGATCACTTCAGCCTGGGAAGTCAAGGCTGCAGTGGGCTGAAATTACCACTTCACTCCAGCCTGGGTGACAGAGCAAGATCCTGTCTCAAAAAAACAAAATAATATGATAAAATAAGTTTTAAAAATGAAAGTAATAATAATAATAAAATAAAACAGAGCCCCATCTCCCTTGAATCACAGGTGGCACATGTCTTATACCTGTTCCGAGTTCTCTGTGGGAGGAGGATTAAGTACCTCTTTTTTGTTTGTTTTTTTTTAAGACAGGGTTTCACTGTGTTGGTCAGGCTGGTCTTGAACTCCTGACCTCAGGTGTTCTGCCCGCCTTGGCCTCCAAAGTGCTTGGATTACAAGCGTGAGCCACCACGCCTGGCCAGGATTAAGTCCCTCTTGACCAAGGTGGTCACTTCTTTTTTTGTGGCTGCATCACCCCCAACCTGGTCTCCAACATCACGTGGCCATCTTCTCTCTGTGTGTCTCTCCTCCTCCTCCTCCTCCTCCAAGGACCTATAAGGTGGTGACTTCTATTTTTCCTGCGTCTCTCCCCCACTCTCCACTGACGTTTCCTGGGATTGTCTCCGAGATTGGTCACTAATACTGGAATCCTTGTCTCCGGTTCAAGGGAACTTAATCTAAGACACTCCCAAGTAAATCCGACTTCCTGCAGGGCCCCGCCCTTGATGAATGGAGACCTTGGAATCTTCCTTGATTCTGTTCTCTGGCTGGACCACCCAAAGCACACACTGTGCCCACCGCCTCCTACCTTGTAGCATCTCCTGTACCCCATCCTTCCCTTCCTGGGTTTGGCCCTCACCCCTCCTGCCCACATTGCAGCACCAGATTCCTGACTGGCCTCCCCACTCCAGGCTTCCCACTCTGGCTCTTTCTGCCTCAGGGGAGAGAGAAGAACCCACGTGCTTCTCAGAGTGTAGCTCTGCCTCCTTGCAAGGGCCTGGGGAGGGCAAAGTGCAGTGACGGGCACTCAGATAGCTGTGGAGGAAGGCAAACTCATTGATTCAGTCATTCAGAAAATATTTTCTTTTTTTCTTTTGCAGAGGGAGTCTCACTTACTCTGTTGCCCAGGCTGGAGTACAGCGGTGCGATCTCGGCTCATTGCAAACTCCACCTCCTGGGTTCAAGCGATTCTTCTGTCTCAGCCTCTTGAGTAGCTGAGATTACAGGCATGCACCACCATGCTCGGCTAATTTTTGTGTTTTTAGTAGAGAGAGGGTTTCTCCATGTTGGCTAGGCTGGCCTTGAACTCCTGGCCTCAAGTGAGAGTGTGAGTGGGACCCAGAGACTTACTTCTTTTTTTTTTTTTTTGAGATGGAGTCTTGGAGTCTCCTTTTGTCATTCAGGCTGGAATGCAGCGGCACAATCTCAGCTCACTGCAACCTCTGTCTCCCGGGTTCAAGTGATTCTCCTGCCTCAGCCTCCTGAGTAGCTGGGACTAGAGGCACCTGCCACCATGCCCGGCTACTTTTTGTGTTTTTAGTAGATACAGGGTTTCACCATATTGG